GTGGGGGCGGAGGGGGGTGTAGGTCCAAGGATACAGATCTGGGCAAGGAAAGGGTTTGGGTTCATAACGGAACCGTGACAGTATAGGGCATGAGGGTGGTCTTGCAGGAGATGATCCTTGGGAAGTAAGCTGGGTCCCTGAATGGTGACTGGAATCGTCTGCAGTTCAGAGGAGTTGGACTTTTTTAGGCAGGCAAAAGTGAGCCAGCCAAAGTCTTTGAGCCTTGGAATGCTGGGGAAGTTGCTGTGAGAACACTGCCGGGCAAGGACTGATGGGAATGGACCAGAATTGGCCCCTCCATAGTATTGAGATTGAGATCCTGAATGAGGCAGTGGCTGGGAATTATAAGAAGTCTTGATGGCTCCAAGTTTGCACTGTTTGTGTTTCTCAAGGAAGAGAGTGAGAGAGAAAGGCAAGAAAAGAAAAGGTGCAGGAGCCAGGGCTCCCAGAAATACAGAAAAAGGAACACTGAGACTGGGATGTGGGGAAGAGAGTAGGGTAGGTGCATTAGGGAGTAGTCAGAGTTGGGCTCTGCCCTGTTGAGTACAGCCTCTTGAGCAGCCTGAGTGTTCTGAGGGGCTCTTAGCTGCCTCTTTGGCTGGTGGCAGTGACTGGGAGGGAGAGAAGAGCAAGAGTCCTAGACAGGGGCGGCAGGGGTGGCAGGAGTGAGGATAGAAGACAGTGTGCCATAGTAGGTAAGAGCCATAGAGTCCCACAGGCCTGAGTTCTGTCTCAGCTCTTTAACTCGGGGGATGTTAATCTCTGAGTCTGTTTCCCTTCTGTAAAATGGGTCTAATGTCCTTCTCACAGTCTGTGAGGCGTGCCCAGAGTAATATATGTAAAGTGCTTGGCACAGGCTCAATAAATGTCAGTTGCTCTTGTTATCAAGGGTTGGTGACCTCTGAAGGAGGATGCACTGTGGAGAAAGGATGGCACTTAGAGCACCTATGGGAATGAAAAGGGAAAACTTGCAGAGACTCATGAAAAAGATGAGAGGATGTTTGCTGAAGTAAAAATGAAGAGACATGAGAAGATTGGTAGCTGATCCCTTATATCTTTGTAAGTAGGGGGCAAAAATCTGTTGAGAGTTCCCTTAGACATTCAGAAACTCAGTGGGCATCCCCTCCAGTACTTCTTGGTGCCTGGGTCTACCCAGACTCCAGGCCTGGTCCTGGGATTGTCTAGAGCATTTAAACACATGTTGTTTCAGGAGTCAGTGACCTTCGAGCATGTAGCCATCTACTTCTCTGAGAATGTATGGACTGGCCTGACCCCTGCTCAGCGGGCCCCGTACAGGGATGTGATGCTGGAGGATTATGGGGCTGTGGCTTCCTTGCGTAAGGGTCTTTCCCTTTGGACTCTGCCTCTACCCTTTGGAATTTCTTGGCTCCTTCTTCCTCAAAGGCTCAGGAGTCTTTGATAACCTCAGTTGAGTGGCAACTTCAGGCTCTTGTATTCTTAATGACCCAACCTTAGTGGTTGCTGGGAAGTAGGAAGTCCTGGTATCAATTCAGGCCTCACATAGGACTTCCTTACCCCCAGCTGAGAGCTTCTGTTCTCCTGACTCATGTGCTGTGGATACAGTGGGAGGAGAGAAGATTCCTGGTGCCCCTCTGAGCCCTCAGATCCCACCACCTCAGTTTGGGAGACCCAGCCCAATACCAACCATCCTCATGCAGACGTCTGAACTTGAGAGCTCTCGGAGAGGGAGAGCACAAGAAGGCTCAGTTCCTCAAAGAGTGAAGTCATCTGTTTGCTCACTCACGCTGTTATTGAGCACCCCTTCTTCTCTGTTTCCTGACCTTTGTGAGCCTCCAGGCCCCACTCCCCTGGGTCTCCTGTCCCTTTCCCCAGACTTCTTTTTCTTGTTCTCCCTAGTAATTTCCCTTCTTTCCCCTCCCGCCCCTGAAGACACAGGCCTGGGAGGAGCCCTGGGATTGCTCTGTGTCACCCTACTCACCCGCCTGTCCCATTTCCTTCCTGTCAAGCAGCATTTCCATTTCCCAAGCTGGCTCTGATTTTCCAGCTGGAACGAAGCACCATGGAGCTTGGCTCCTCAGGGAGCTCTGGATGGAGAGGGCCCGAGGGGCATCTCCTCAGGTGGGTGAGGATACATGTGCTAGTCATCTGACCAGTTCCCTTGTCTTAATCTTTAAATTGTCATGGGTGTGTGTTCTCTTAACCTAGTGCCGTAGACACCAGTGGGGTTCCTTGTTTTCCTCTGTGGTCCCATGGTTTTCCATCTTCTTGAGTCCTTGCTGTATTTATCTGGGCTCTTCTGTGTGCCATCTTCATGCACCTGTTTTTCCTCTTCCCCACCTCCACTGTTCTTTTCAGGGCCGTTATGTATCTTTACTCCCTGACTTTTCTGTTTCCTTTCTGATCTGAGGTGGCTTTTCTACTTTCCTGGCCTGCTTCTAATCTTCCAGCAGAAGATTTGGACTGCCCTTTGGGGTATCATGGCCATTTTTTTTTTTTTTTTTTTTTTTTTGCGGTATGCAGGCCTCTCACTGTTGTGACCTCTCCCGCTGCAGAGCACAGGCTCTGGACACGCAGGCTCAGCAGCCATGGCTCACGGGCCCAGCCGCTCCGCGGCATGTGGGATCTTCCTGGACCGGGGCACGAACCCGTGTCCCCTGCATCAGCAGGCGGACTCTCAACCACTGCGCCACCAGGGAAGCCCTATCATGGCCATTTTTATCATTAGAAATCAAGAAGTCTAAATAACCCTGAGCCAGATACTTCCTGTTCCTCAGGGATTTCTGGTGGGAAAGCCCTGGCATTTGTTTAGACCCAACACAGGGCTTCCCTGCTCCTAATTTCCTACTGAGAACTGTGTCCTCTTATTGCCCCCCGGTTCCATTTCATCTTCTTCCCACAGAGGCTTTTTTGTGGGCACAGGTGCCTTGAGCTGTGCCCTCAACTTCCCCATTCACACAGTTCCTTGCTGTGTCTGGAAGTCTTTCCATGTTAGGATACCGTTGATTGCAAGTAACAACCCAATTCAAACTGGCTTAAATAAAAAAGAGAAATTTATTGTTTTGTGTAATTGGGAAGTCCATAGATAGAATGGGCTGCAGGTACATTTGGATCAGAATTTCAGTCTCTGCTCTTCTCTGTCTCCTCGTATGTTGGTTTTGTCTACAGTCTGGCTCCTCTCGTGGTTGTAAGGTGATTGGTAGTTGCAGCCAGGACTGTGCTTCTTCACACCGATGGGGAGGAACAGAGCAGGCCTTCCTTAGGCTTTAACCATTGTGAATCACAGTCCCAAGTATTGCTCTGCTGCACCATCTAAAGTCTTATGCCAGGGAAAAGCTCTGCACTGATTGACTTGGCCTGGATTGCTGGTCCCTGAACGGATCTCTCATGTAGTGAGTGGGATGGGATAACCTGTTTGGCTTAGCTCAGTGAGGGCCTGTACCAGGAGCTGGACGTGGGATCACTCCCACCCAAAGGGCCTGGCTACTCCCTAGTGGGGGAGGGGTAGAATGGATGTAGGAAGGCACCTACAGTGTCCTCTACCTTCTCTCAGGATCTCAGTACCTACTCTCCCTGCCACTCAAGGGCATTCTCATCTCTGCTTTAGGCAGAAAGCTAAGAGCTAAGTTATTCCTTGAGCAAAACCCTAACTCCCTGACTTGCAGCAGCCCTCCTTGGAGCTCATGTCCCTACTCAAAGTCTTAAAGAAGAGAGTACTCATGAGGCACATAGTCCTTTGCCTCAGCAGCATGAAAGGTCATCATTTTTTTTTAAGTCCTCTCCATATATATATTTATTTATTTAATTTATTTTTTTATACAGCAGGTTCTTGTTAGTTATCCATTTTATACATATTAGTGTATATATGTCAATCCCAATCTCCCAATTCATCACACTGAAAGGTCATCATTTGGAAATTGCAGAATTGATCTGGTTCTTAGGAGGATTTGGATGGGAGTTACAAAGAGACCAATCTTAGCTAAGTCTGAAGAACTTATTAGAGTGGACCTTTGTAAATAGGGGTGTTTATCGTTAGAGCAAGAAGTGACTTCTGGGAATGGCTGAATGAGGCTATGAGGCCATTTCTTATGGATGCCATAGAGAGACCCATTGTTGATCCTCTGTGAAAAGAGAAGGCAGTAGATAAATAGCTAGGAAGGAAGGAAAGTAAGAGGTGGTGCTTTCCCAACATAGCCTCAGGAACAGCTCCTTGCAGTTCTTTCCTATCCTGATACTTTGCTGTGTGAATTGGCTTTCAGCTCCTAGGGGCAGGTGCAGAAGAGACCTTAGTTTTTCCTGTTTCTTCTTGACATTTTAAAATGAGTGATGAGTTTTTGTATATTGGTGAACTGATGGAATCACAACTTCCCTGAACCTCTATTGCCTATCCTTTATATTCTTATTACTCAAGTTTCAGTTCGTCTGTTTTACCAGTCTTTCCCCCAACCTTCATTCTCCCCTACCACTTCTGTCTCAGCTCCTTTCCTAATGGGCCCCACTCCTCCAGCTGAGTCAGCCTTATTTATATCTTGATCCTGGCAGGATATCCATTTCTAAAGCCTGCTGGGATCTCCCATCTTGAGCAGGTAGAAGAGCCATTGAAACCGAAACTGCAAGGAGAGGGTCGAAGCCTAATTTGTACCGGTAAGTGGGAGGGAAATGAGCACTTTTTTCCCAGTCACACATTTTTCTCCTGTCTTTCCTTTGTAAAATGTTAAAATTCCATGCCATTTATGTTCTAAATAAAAGACCCTCTAAACATCCCCAAATCAACTAATTAATCAGAGGAAATGTAAACTCTGAACTTCCAGCTTTTATTTGGACAAGTGCAGGTAATTAAATCTGGATGGATCTTTCATCTTAGGCTCAAACTGAACAGAGGGCTTACCTATCTGGCTGCAGTGGTCAATCAATATGTTAAAGGTAAATGCTGTATTTTTCTCACTGTGTTCATTGCTAGGGATCAGAAATCAAGTAATATATGGCTCCTATCCCGGAAAGGCTCACAGTCTGATGAGACATTATACAAAAATGTATAATTATAACAAAATGTGATGCTGTAACAGAGATTTGAATAAGACACTATGGAACAAAGAGACACTTTGGCCAACACTGCCTAAAGTAATTCAGGGAAGCACTTTTCATGGTGGACCTGGTGTTTGGATTGAATGAGAAGACTTTATTTCCATTCAGTGTTGAAAAGTATGAGAGAGTCTTCTTTGTGCTCCCCACCGTGTGTCATAAGCTCAGGGTCCCCAGGTATACCACAGATATTCTTTATTTCTGAACAGGTTCTCTGCTCTGAATCCTGGCTAGTTCTTCTCATGTTATAAACTGAACTACCTAGAAGGAATTTTGACTTATCGCCCTTAGAATTCAATTCAACTATTTCCCAAGAGCATCCCCCACCCCCAACTCCCCACCTGCCGGCCCCATGCTTGCTCTGGTGCTGGAAATCAGAGCCCTCAGCCCTCAGGGACTGTCTGCCTAATTTCTGCCTTTTGATTTTGGTTGCTTTCTGTGTGTTAGCTCTGTTTCGCCGTTTTCAGCTAGGTCAGGGCCACTTAGACACAGGGGTGGCACTTGGAGAAAAATGGACATATTAATAACACTTGGTGACCTCAGTCACTCTGTCATGGGTAATGATGACATTTACAGCTCTGGTTTCTTCTTTCAGAGTCTGTGTCCAAGAGCGAGAAAGAAGGTTTTATTCTGAAGGAGGATACTTTTGAGGAGGCACAGGACCACATGGTGCTATCAGGTGGACCCCAGTGCTGTGGTTCCCAGGAATTCTGGTTTGGAAAAACCTGTGAAGAGGAGAAAAGCAGGTTAATGAGATGGCCTGCCTACCCCAATAGGGAAAGTGTGGAGAACACTACATGTGACATTATAGAAGTGATTGTCAAGGATGAGATGATCTCAGTAGAAGAGCATTTGAAAGATGCTGATGTTTATACCCACCTCGTGCCTCAGAAAAGTCTACATGAGCAGGTATTCTATATATGTGAAGAATGTGGCAAGTGTTTTGATCAAAATGAAGACTTTGATCAACATCAGAGAATTCATATTGGGAAGAAAGCCTGTGGTTGTAAGGAATGTGGGAAGACTTTCAGTTTCAGATCACACTGCATTGTACGTCAGAGGATTCACGCTGGGGTGAAACCCTACATATGTCAAGAATGTGCTAAAGCCTTCGTTTGGAAGTCAAACCTGATTGGGCACCAGAGAATTCACACCAGGAGAGAAACCCTTTGAATGTAAGGAATGTGGGAAGGGCTTTAGTCAGAACACAAGCAGTACACAACATCAGTGAATCCACACCAGGGAGAAACCATATACATGTAAGGAATGTGGGAAGAGTTTTACTCAGAACCCAGTCCTTCTTCGACATCAGAGGATCCACACCGGGGAGAAAGCTTATGAATGTAAGGACTGTGGGAAAGGCTTCATGTGGAACTTGGATCTTGCGCAGCACCAATGGGTCCACACTGGAGAGAAGCCTCATGAATGTATTGACTGTGGGAAAAGCTTCATTTGCAAGGCACACCTTACTCGTCATCGGAGAATCCATACTGGGGAAAGACCCTTTAAATGTAATGACTGTGGGAAGGCCTTCAGTCAGAATTTGTTTTGATTATGCACCAGAGGCGCCATGCTAGAGAGAAACCCTATAACTGTCAGACTTTTCACTTTCTTGAACATTAGAGAATGCATAATGGTGATACTTGTTTATAATTCTTATGCTACAGGAACCCCAGCCACAAGATGAGATGACTGCCCACAGTTTGCTGTAACTGTAATAGCCAGTATTGTCTTGCCCCTTCTCCTGAGTGGATACCCTGTCCTCCAGCAAGACTGGTCTCTCTGTTCAGCCATACTCATACTAGGCAACATTTAGTTGAGCACCTACTCTATGTCAGGTACTGTGCTAACCATTTTACATACATTCCTTAACTTTTCTTAATCCTATAAGGTAGGTACTCTTACCCTCATTTTACAAATGAGAAATCTGAGGTTGAAAGAGGTTATAAACTCATTCAAGTTCACTCAGGTAGTAAAGTTTAGAGTCAAGATTGGAACCAGGCCTGTCTGACTCCCGAATCTATTGTTCTTTATCTGTAGACATTTCTGCTTCTGCCTGTTTTTATTTGCTCAAATTTCCCTGGGCTAAAAGTCTCCTTTCCTCATCTAAGACTCAGCTCCTTCAGGTGAACAGACCTCTCTTCGTTTTCTAATTGTAGTCAGTACCACCCAAGTTGGTATTTAATTATGTGCTGTCTTATATTTTTTCTAATAGTCTCATGCCTGTTAGTCAGGCTAAGTGACTCTTTGAGGACCAACACTGCATTTCTTTGTTTTTCCATTTTTGAAACGTATTTATTTTTGACTAGCTATAACATACTCATGATAAAAAAAAAATTGAAATAGTTCCAAAAGGTGTTCAGTGAAAAGTAAATTTCCTTGTCACTCCTGTCTCCCAGTCCTTCTCAGAGACAATGCATTGTTTCTGTGTCTTTCTGGGTACATGCCCACACAAGTATTTATTAATACTACTTTCCATAAGTCTACCCCACTTAAAACCATATTTGATATAGTGATATTGCTATTACTTTGCCAACTCCAGGACCTTCTCTTCCTCAGAAGTTGTGGGCCTCCTTTAGGTCACCAAGGTAACTTAAGGAAAGCAGTGGAGATAGTCTGGGTTGTGCAGTCTTGGGAGACGTGATTGCCCTTGTGTTATAAGAGAGTACTCTGGGACTGGGACAATGTAAACCAAGTGGGAATTTTTTTTCATAAAAATTTGTAGAGCTACAACCCCTCTCATTGCACCACTATCCTAAATTCTCTCCTAGTCTGTCCCCGTCTCATCACCATAATACCTACATCCCGAAGTAAGCTGTGGGGCTATCACCAAAGGAGGGAGAAGTGGTCACTTCATGCTCTATTGGGTGTCCTCAATCAGTTAGCAGTGGCAATATAATCCAGTATCTTGGTGTCAGGGTCACAAGTGCCCTGCATAGGTCCAGGATCAAACATAAATGTTAGGCACACATAGATTCTACGCAGCAAGTAAGGGGAAGGTGAAGAATTCCAAAATTAACTTGATTACAGACTGAAATCAAGTCTGTAAAATAAAATATTTTTAAAAAGAGGATACAGGCTGTTAAAATATTAACTATGAAGAAATGCAGGATATTAATGAATGGTATGAACCATCTTAAAGAGTCAGAGAACCAAAGGCCCTGTTCAGAGAAGAAGAACACTGGCCAAAACAGATGAAACGTCCATTCCAGACTCTCCACCTTTCGAGCCATTTTCCAGACTGCAGTTTGCCCCATTGCTATTTAGGCATCCCACTTTATAAGCTCCCAGCCAGTGAGTATAATTGTTGATAAAGGAGCAAGGAAGAGAAGCCAGAGGCCTGCTTGGACCAAACTTCTGCTTCCTGAAAAGTACAAACATACTGATAACTCTGGAGTTTCTGACTGCTGAAGCCAAAGGCCATGTAGTAAGGAGAACTTGGTCTGGTGTAGTCCAGCTAGAGTACCTCTAATAAGCAGGAAAAATTTTATTTTATACTGCACAGACCCAGGAAATGGAAATGAGTGATGTGAACACGTGTTTTGAGGAAGTTGTTTATTACACAAATATTACTGAGCACCTGCTTGTATGCAAAGCACTGTGCCAGGTGCTGTAAAGGAATGATAAGTCAGACCTGCTCCCTGCCTTCCTGGAACATTAATCTAGTGAAGATTAAAGGGACCAACCAAAAAAAAAATCAAGTGAACAAGATTATTAAAGATTGCTAAGTGCTCTGAAGGGAATGAACAAGGTACAGAAAGTGGGGCCCTCTTTCTATAGATGCTCACAGGAGGCCTATCCTAAGAGGTAACATTAAAGGTATGACTCAGGATGAGAAAGAGCCTCTAGTACCAAGAAAAGGAAGAACAGCAGGCAGAGGGAACAGCTGTGCAGACTCCCTGATGTGTGAAGAGTTTGGGACGTTCAAGAAAACAGATTTTAGCAAAACGAACAGGGCCTGTGTGGTACCAGTTGGGATTATACAGATCGATGGGCCAGATCATTCAATTCCACCCTAAGTGAAAAGAAGTCATTGAAGAGTATTCAGTGGAGGAATGACGTGTTTGATTCTTACTATAAGATGATGATGAGCACTCTGGCTGCTAATAGAAAATGGGTTGTAAGGGGACAAAAGTGAAAGTAGAGGTCATGTTGGAGACTGCTAGCCGTCCAAGTTGGAGATGACGGTGGCCTGGAGAGGGCGGTGGTAATGGAAATGAAGAGAAGGTGGATTTAAGATATATTTTGGAAATAAAATCAGTGAGCTGCTGCCAATGGATTAGATGCAAGGATAATGGGCAGGGAGGAATCAGGGATAGCTTTCTGGCTTCTGACTTGAGCAGCTGAGTTAGACAGTGGTGCCATTTCCTGGAATGAATAAGACTGGAATGGGAATAGGTTTGGAGATGGAAAAGTCTAGAACTCTACTTTGGATTAACATTTGCGATAAGTGTGAGATGTACAATTAGAAATTTCAAGTAGGTGGTTTTATATATGGGCTGGAACTCTGGGTTAGTGATACCTGGAGCTGTACATTTGAGAGTGGTCAAACGAACAGAAGGTATTTAAAGCCATGGGAAGAAATGAATGTAATCTCCTAGAGCTGCACTATTCAATACAGTAGCCACTAGCCACGTGTGGGTATTAAAATTAAATTTAAAATGTATGTCCTTAGCCACACTGGCCAGATTCCAAGCACACAGTAACTATATGTGGTAGTTGGCTACCTTATTGGATGGTGTAGGCGTAGAACATTTTCATTAATGCAGAAAGGTCTATTGGACAGTACTGCCCCCAGAGACAGTACAGCAAAATATGAGGGCCCAGGATGCAGTCTCATGGAATACCAAATCTATTTAGGGAATTGGACAGGGGGAAACACCAAGGAGAAATGCTAAGAAAGAGCATCAGTGAGAGATTGGCAACACTACACTACCAGTGGCAACATTATGCAGGCAGCAGTTGAAATAGGGTTGACTTTCCAATTGGGAATGTAAGGAGGTGATCATTAAAATCCTAAATATTCAAAAGCTCCCAGAGTGAAGGTGACATATATGTTAGATGAGTTCAGTATTTTAAAATGGGAGAGAGAGAGAGAATGAATAAGAATAAGAACCCATGGAAATGGAACTATGAAAGAGAAGAAACAGTTTAGACTTACAGAAGAGGATCATGGAAGTTGATCAACCCTAGGAATCCTCTTTCAAAGATGGAAATGTTTGTAGGCAGAGTGGTGGAATGGCAAGACAAATTTTAGAAGTATCACCATGAGAGAATTAGCAAAACATGGCAAAAGCTAGGTGTTCTAGGAGGATTAAGAAATAGCACGTGGAAATGGATGTCCAGTAAGACAGCGTCTCTAGCAGATATGAAAAAATCCTGGGCATTCCACGTGATGTGACTCGAAACATTGGTGACGTGGCAAATCCAAAATTCACATAGTTAAGGTAGGGGAGCCTGGAAGATACCTCAAAGAGATTGGAAATTATCCACTGGAGAATCAGGAACTGAGAGTATATTTTCATCAAATTTGGAAGGTATGTTATGGTATGACAAACATTAGTCCGGTGGGATTCACGAAGTTAAGGTTAGGGCATGAAAGGTACCTATTTAGACACTTAACCTCCAAGCAACTTAGATGAAATACAAATGAGGAGCTTGTGTGACCACTAAGAGAAAATATGATATTAAGGTGCTATACAAGAAAACAGTGCTTTCAAATATAAGCCAGGATCAGTATAATTAATTTGCAAATGACAGAAAACCCAAATCTAACTAGTTTAATAAAAGTTGTTTATAGGCTCACATAACTGAAAAGTTCAGAGGTAGGACAATGTTCCAATACCTATTGAGAGGGACAGAGTTTAGACCTAGAGAAGATTCTCTGATGTTGAAAGACAATTCCTCTGCCCAGTGATTGAGACGTAAATTACTTTATGAGTGGAAAATTGCTTCCTTACTTTAGCAGAAAGAGAAAACAAAAAGAACTGGCTTTAACCATTTTTTTTCTGCGAAAGAAGGACTGTATTTGTCTGGTGGAAGTGATATAGATATTGGAGTTAAGCAACTGAATTGTTCAGCCTCTACCCCCATTTCCAGCATACGTAGTCCAGGCTAAAGTGTGCTTAGCGTGAATGCAGCTGGAAACCCGATGTCTTCTGATTTCCACTGTATTGTACCCCCTAATAGTCGATAAAAACTTATTCATTGTCAAGTATACAACAGAAACTTTATTCTGTTGATAATATCAAAAGAAATGAGAAAGAACTGCTGTGAAAGAAGAAGCCAAACAGTACATTTATTTGTCTGGCAGACAATCAGCTGGTGTCTTGGGTTGTGTCTTATACTACAGATTTCTCTTCCCACAAGAGCACCGGGTAGAAAACTCGACATAGGCTTTTCACTCTGACCCCTTCTCTTTGAGAAAATATTAACTCTGAGTGCAAGGGATCTAACTACCAGGCCCCAAATTTATTTTATTATTTTCCTGGGAGGCTCAAAGGGTATTCAGGCAAATGGGGCTAAGCTCCCTTACTATTTCTGCCTTGCGGGTGGCAGATCAGATTCCCTGATGTTCCTTTGAAAAATACAAGCCTGGGTGAAGAGGAAACAAGAAAAAGAGG